ACTTCAACGCCCACGTGGGCAGCAACAGTTTTGGGAAACCTCCTGACTTGTATGGTGGGCACAATGTTGTCAATACAGGTACTAATGTACCCGGTCACATACTCAGCATAGTCTTGTAGGCTGACAGAAAAGTCCCCTAGGTGGCTGCAGCTTTAAACAGTCCTGCAGGTGGGCGAAACAGTCCTGCAGGATGCCTTCAGTCTCTGGGGTCCAGAGTTTAATTTGTTTGGTGACAGGGTTTGTTTGTTTCAGTCTTTGTCTGTAAGCTGGATACAGGAACAAAGACATGTGGTCCAAGTGTCCAAGATGGGGGCGGGGTGCAGCCCAGTATGCACCACATATGTTACTGTAAACATGATCTAGAGTATTCTTGCTCTGAGTGGGAATGTTCACATGTTGGTAATATTTGGGGAGTACGGTCTTTAAATTGCACTGGTTAAAGTTGCCTGCAGCGATAAATACAGCATCGAAGTGCGCTGTCTCCAGCACGTTGATGACATCATAGAGTTTGCTGAGAGCCGCAGAGGGATTAGCTCTTGGGCTAACATAAACAGCAGCTAGAAACAGCAGCTAGAAACACAGCACTATGCTCTCTGGCTAGATAGTAGGGCCGGCATTTCAGCAATAAAAACTCTACGTCTGGCGAACAGTGCTTATAAACAGTCCATACATCTCCACATCATGAGTTATTGATAAACACACACACACCACCTCTTTTTACCTTCCCTGAAGCAGCAGTGCGGTCTCCTCGATATACTGAGTGAGTCTTTAGCTGAATCGCGGAGTCTGGAACTCTGTCAGAAAGCCAAGTCTTGGTGAGAATTAGAGCACAGCATTCTCTGATTTCCCGTTGTGCTGTAATCCTAGCCCTTAGCTTGTCCAGTTTGTTTTCCAGAGATTGTACGTTAGCTAGTAAGAGGCTGGGTAATGGCGGTTGGGTAGTGTGAGCTTTTAGCCTAGCATGGACTGCCCCTCGCCTGCCCCTTTTGCGTCTCCGGGTCGCTCTCCTGATTTCAGCCTGCTTGCTTGTGCCTGGTGCTCCGGGGACTCCCCGAGGACGGTGTTGGCTGTCCCCACCATTTGTTGCTGTTGTTGTTGTGAACAATGAGTTGTAGCTTCAGTGGTATGAAACCAGTAAATTCCCAGTGGCTTCATGAGTTGGCGATATCCAGCAATGCCTGTCTGTTGTATGTAAGCAGTGCATGACATTTGTGCACTGCAGAAAAAGCAAAAAAACACACAAAAAAGAATAAAACAAAGAAAAAGCCGGCATTCGAGAGTGGGACGCACAAACATGTTCGCCTCGGTGGGCGCCATGTTGAGGAAAAGATCACGCTAGACTTTCTCATTGTCGTTTTGATGGACAGGGTCATAAAAACTCTGTCATAATTTATTATTGCCCCTCAATTTAATTTTCGTTTTTAATGATAAGATCTTTTAAATAGCATTTTTTCATTTGTTTTAATTTCATTTTTTTAAATAATTAGCATACGAAACCAGCTAATGTCTAGCCACTTTTCATGTCAATGCCACATAAAGCAAATGACTTTTTTCAAGAGTGAGAACAAAGGCCACTAAAAATACTGCGGCCAGTGTACGTAAACAAGCAAATATGAACATTGTAATTTTACAAAATTAGATAATTGCCATTAAAATAGCCAGGCACGGTAGGCTAGTGGTTAAGGCGCAGCACTCTTGCCACTGCGGCCTAGGTCAGGGTTGCTTCAGGAAGGGCATCCGGCATAAAACACATGCCAAATGTCAACATGTGAGTGGTCAGTGTGACGATTCGCTGTTGCCACCCCTAAACGAGAAAAGCTGAAAGTGACTTTCTAGATAATTGCCATTAAAATATGATCAACCCATTTACAAAAAATTGGCTAACTGAATTGAATTCAGCTGACCTGCTGCAGAGGTGATTGTCACTAGGTTTCTTGTGGCCCTTTAAATTTGGATCTGAAAGCTGAATCCACACTCTGCCGCCCGCAGTGGAGACTGGACTTGCCAGCTCCACTTCAGCCAAAGTTGGGTGAGAGGTGGGGTCCACACTGCACGGGTCACCAGTCTTTCACAGGGCTGACATGTAGACAAACAACCACTCACACGGGAAATTTAGAGTCACCAGTCAGCCTAAGCTGCATGTCTTTGGACTGTGGGAGGAAGCTGGAGCACCCGGAAAAAACCCACACAGACACAGGGAGAACATGCAGACTTGATCCCAGAACCACTGCTGTGAAGTGACAGTGTTAACCACTGCGCTGCTGTGCCACCCCAAATATATAAGAATATAACAGAATGTATGCTGCATGGGAGCAGCATGTGCAGCAGTCAACAGTCATTGTGCAATTATGCATGTTCAAACTGGGAGTGTAAACATTACATCACGTATTTTCTGGTAGTAAACTCCTCAGCTGTTTAGGAGTCTGATGGCAGAGGGAAAGAAAGAGGTTTTTCAGAAAGAGTTGTCTTTCATATCTTATGAGATCCCTGTTTTCCTTGCCTTCTTTCCATTTTCCTGTTTTCTTGTGTTTAATCTATTTTTCCTCTCCCTTTTCATCCATAACTGTAATATTTTTTATTATATTTAATGTTGTCTTGTTTTGTGTTTTGTTGCTATTGTCCTGTTTATTAATAATAATAATTTATTTGTTTATATAGGGCTTTACAACACCGAAGGTAGCTCAACGTGCTTCACAACAGAACATATAGAAATAAAAGCAGAACATGTTAAGACACATAAACAACAAAAGAAAAGTTAAAATTACACAAATTTAAAACAACGGTCTGTGAGCAACTATAACGCTGCTGCACAATAAAAATGAGTCAAAGTACAAACAGAATAAGATTAAAGAATATAAAATCAGAAAGCCTGTAGGCACCAGTATGGTGCCACTGCTAAAAATAAAGTGCCAAGAGCCAGCTGGAATAGGTGTGCCTTTAATTTAGACTTAAAAACCATTAACTCCGTTATAGACCGAAGCTCAGGGGACATGGTATTCCAAAGCTTGGGGGCATATACAGCAAAAGAACAATCACCCCACTTTTTGTACCTTGCCCACAGGTATTTATGAGCCTCTTTTTATTTTTATTTTTTTAGTCAAATTGACAAAGTTTAATGTATGGGCCAGAACTGACTCGGTCATCTAGCAGTTCTGTGAACAGAACAAGATTCCCTCAGTAGTATTCATTCTGAATTGGTCAGTGATCAGTTTGCTAAGCTCATGTGGAGGAGGCAGAGCTTACAAAATGAACTGATTGAAAAAAATTAAGGGGAAGACTAAATCATATATTGGATCTTGATGAACAAAGTGCCTTAACAATGGTCAATGGAAATCAAAAACATCGGCCCATGGAGGGCTGTATTCAAAATCACACTGAAAGTCAAAATGAAACATTGAAATTACAGGCTCATCCAAGTTGTGTGAATTTCATTACAGCCACTCATAATGTGACTCAGATGTGTGTATGGCCTTCACGTGCCTGTATGCATGGTGTCCTGGGGAGTCGCCTTCCAGACCTGGATCAGGGCATCAGTGAGCTCCTGGACAGTCTGTGGTGGTACTTGGTGGAGTCGGTTGCACCAGTACATAATGTCTTTGTTTTGAATGTCATGCATAGTGTGATTAATTATTTACCTTCTTCTTGAAAAACCCACAAAGGTTAGTTGGTTATTTGTCTGGGACTTTTCCTGCCTGTATACCTGCTTCTGTTTACTACCATAGAAATACCTGTTTATGCTCACTTCAGAGGGCTGATCATTGTCTGTGATTAGTTTTGAATTGGCACACTGGGCAAGAAGGTTTATGTGCAAGAGGTATGAATGAAAAGAAGGGAGAGCCTAATTGTTATTAGCGTCTTGAGTACATACAATACTATGTATTGTAGCTGAAATGAACGATTTAAGTAGTGAGATTTTGCATCTATAACCTGAAGACTAGTTTAGTGTCAGTTAATTTGTTGATCCTTTTTTTGATAATTATTTTAATTACTGGTGTAGTCTATTAAATGGCAGAAAATTCACCAGTTTTCAGAGTTCAAAACCTGAAGATACTTCAGGTTTATTTCTAGTCACTGTATTAAAATAGATGAGTGCTGTTGATGCCTTACCAAGTCATAGTTTAAGATGTAATTTGTTTTTTCTTGTGTTTACATTGTTTGCAGTCAGACAGTGGACCTCTTGATGCAGGAGTCTGGCTGCAGACTGGAGCACCCCTCTGCCACCAAGTTCCGCAATCATGTCATGGAAGGAGAGTGGGACAAGGTGGAGCCAAGTGATCTGAAATGCATATCCATACTCTTAGGAGCACTGTATTTAGTCCAAGAAGAGGAAATCATGTAGATGTAGTTTGTTTACAAAACAAGAACACAACAGTAAATTCTGTGCTTGCACAGATCTAGTGATATCTTTATCAGTTCGTGTTCATCATTCTGTTCCCTTCTCTTTCTTCAGGCTGAGAGTGATCTGAATGAGCTGAAGGCACTGATGCATTCTCCAAGTGCTATTGTGGTAAGTGCAAGTCCAGCAATCCACTGACACACTGGCTTCCTTGTGTTTGATCATATGGGACAACATCTGTCTCATATGCTGTGTTGTCTCATCAGTAAATCAATGTTTTATGTCCAGTGCACAATTATATCAACCATGAGTACAGAGCTGGGTATAGGGCCAAATTAAAAGAAGTCAGCAGTGGCTAGCACTTAAAGTGCCCATGGCTGCTCATTTTGCTAGTTTCCAGCCATTTATTGTTTAATCTTGGGCACCTCTAGATTAGCTTCGCCCCCCTCAAATTTTGCCAATATGGTGGGGGAGTGGATGTCAGGCAAACTCACATGAACGTGTAATGGCCTGGATTAAATGCCCATTCAAGGAAATCCTTAAAATATCATGTAATACTTTTAGTTAAAAAAAAAAAAAAGTCACACAAGCGAGAGTAAGTGAGACATGTATAAACAGAGTTGCTTCTGCATAGAAGTACTAGAACGTACATACACCTAATTTTTTTAGCTTTAGGTCATGTCTAAGATGATAATTCAGCGTTGTAACATTGTAGTTAAGTCAAAATCAAGGAAAAGCATGCCATGGTCTTTTAGGTACAAACATTTGTGTCAGCAGCACAAAATAAATAAGTGGAACAGCCATAGGACACTTCACACTTAAATCCTGACTTCACTGAGTTTGCAAAGACTTTGCGAATCATTAAACAGCTTGAAGGCCTGTTGGTACTGGAGTGCCCTGGTCTGAGACTTGTACTGTCTCAGTGATAACTGTCTCATACTGGATGTTTTGCTTTCAGTGTGTTCACTTTGTTTACACAATACTGTTTAGAATCAGAATCAGTTTTATTGGCCAGGTGTGATGGACACACAAGGGATTTGACTCTGGTACATCGGCTGTCAATGTGCAAACAGTAAACCAGCACAAGGCTGTGTAATATAACAAAATAGTATTAACAACAAAGAGTGCAAACAATGCAGAAAAAGCAGTATAAACAGACTTTAAACAATGCAGACAACAAAAGAATGTTCACTGAAATGAGATAAATATGGATAAAACAGAGTACTTAAAAATAGAGACCTGTACAAGTCTGTATAATCTGTACAAGGTATGTTTACAGGTATTGCACTGAGGGTTATTGTCGAATCATACTGTCGTGGGTTAAGTGTTCATCAGAGCGACAACCTGGGGGAAGAAACTGTCCCTGTGCCTGGTTGTCTTAGTGCACAGTGACCTGTAACGCTGTCTAGAGGGGAGGAGTTCAAACAGATTGTGTCCGGGGTGTGAGGGTTCTACAGTGATCCTCTCCGCCCTCCTTTTGACCTGTGCAGTGTACAGTCCTGACTGTCCGCTGAAGTCTGTACTTGTCCTGTTTGGTTGCTGAGCCAAACCAGACACTGATGGAGGTGCAGAGAACAGACTCGATGATTCCTTTGTAGAACTGTATCAGCAGCTCCTGGGGCAGGTTGAACTTCCTGAGCTGGTGCAGGAAGTACATCCTCTGCTGTGCCTTCTTGGTGATGGTCCTGATGTTGGACGTCCACTTCAGGTCCTGGGAGATAGTGGAGCCCAGGAACTTGTAGGACTTTACTGCTGATACAGTGCTGCCAAGTATGGTAAGT